TCTTTAATGCATACCTCTCCTTTCAATGAGCATAATCCTGAAATGGCGATGCTAAACAATTGATATTTCACTTTATCGTAATTGTTCACTTTCTTTGTCCATGTATTTGTTAATCATGTTTATGATTTAGTCTTGGCCTCTTGGGCTACACAACATATTTGTATTTTTTCTCCATTTACGCCTTTCTTCACTAAAACCAGCACTTTATTTGCACTTAAACCCCAACTGACTGGAGATATTTGGAGACATGGTGTGAGTCACTCACAAACCATTTTATATACGGTGTGAGGCACTCAAAAAGATGTTATATCCTGCACACCTAGGCCACCACCAAGATGAATCAAACTGAAAACAACATGATTTTCAAATTGTTGATGCAGATTGCTCCATTTTAGAGCTATATATACTTGTCTGCTTGAGGAGGTTGGAAGGCAAAGAGCAAGAGACGACTAACTTCAATTCAGTTATGAAAGGTTTGACTACTACATGATCCCTTCTTATGTTAATAGTGTGAATCCTGTGTGACTGACCATGTTATCCTGCCTTTCAGAGTATAAAGACGTACATAATTCGTTCCAAACAACAGACTATTATGCACGGAATGTTTGTCTCCGGGTGTGTATGACACTTAAAATGCAAATTATCCATCTAACATCTAACTTTGGATCTTTAAAGGTATACTGACCAATATTTACTTTCCTTTCAGGCATTTGAACATCTTTTACAACGTCAATTGATCTCCTTGGTTGACAACAGAGGGCACAGCCAATCTGTTGAGTTTCGTCCGGTGAGGCTTTTGATCTCATCACATGAACTACATCAGGGACTGAGAGCATACCGTTCCTGTCCAGTAAGTTACTTTCAGGAACATTTATATTCTTTTAGTCTGAAATATTCTGGGGTGGTTGTGGATATTGATATCATGATAACTGATAGTAATAAACACAACCGAGGGTCTATCGGAAATAACCTCTTATCCCACAAAGGTAGGGGTGGAGTCTATGTATATTTTACCCTCCGTAGACCCCACTTATGGAACGCTGTCTATGTTGTTGATAGCAATAAGCACACTTTTCAGTCGGTCAGTATACACAAGCAGAGAAATCATCTAGTGTTGCATTAATCTTTTTCAACTTTTATTGCATATGCATAAAAAAGATCTATTGGTTCAAGACTGTACCTATTAAGTTACTTGACACAAATTATTAGTTTCGTTTTCGAACTATTGACAACCTTAAAAGCACTCTCTACTTGACTAACTAAACTTAGATACACCCCGATCTACCACATGACATAGCAAGTAGTCTTAAACTCTTGTAAGAGCATTGAGTTCTTAATAAAAACCAAGGGAAGTGTTGAAAACACTCCTAAACTTGGCGAGAATTTAAGGGTATATTTCACTCGTGTTGCAAGATCGGGGGTGTGTTTAAGTTCAGTTAGTCAAGTTAAGGGTGTTTTTAAGACTGTCAAGAGTTCGGAGATGAAACTAATAATTCGCTTCAAGTTTAGGGGTGTTTTCAATACTTCTCTCTAATTTATACTAAGAAATCCACTAAATATGTACAAAAACTAACTTCAAAACCCACTCAATAACACTTGATGTTGTGATCCTAGAATTTAGAACCCATAAAATTTAAATTCTAGTTCCGCCTCTGCCGGCTTGTTGATTTAAACATTGAGTTTCAATACTAATTAGTTTTTGCTCATTTTGCAGGCAATTCTTCATAAACTACTTGACCTTGCAGTGTGAAGTCAAAGCCCCATATGTTGTATTATTTTATCAGTTTTTATTTTTGTAAAATTAGAGTATAATTTTAATATAAAAGAACTATACAATTTCCATATTATGCCAAAAATTGCAATAAATTAGTTATTAATTTTAATTTTTTATTGAATCTCTAGTAATATTTCTTATTACTGTTCAATACTTATATGAGCAATTTTCACATATAGCAAACACAAAATTCATATTTGTATGATATAACAAAGTTTGCATAATTGCGCTTCATAGCAAACATATATATGTATAATTCGCTATACATTTACAAAAAAAGCAATTGTATAATTCGTTATACATATACAAAGAAGATAGTTGTATAATTCGCTATACATATACAAAAAAAAACAGTTGTAGACAAAAGATCAATTGTATAATCTGTATATGTATAAAACGAGAAAGAGAGAAAGACAAAAGAAAACTGGGCAGCTAAATATTTGTATTGTATAATTATAAATGTATAGGACGAAGATATATGTATTTGTATGTGTATATACAATTTTCTCACTTTATACAAACAGAAGCGCAATTTATACATTTCGTTTCTGTTTGTATAAGCGAGAGAGGCGAGGGTGGCGAGCGAGATTTGGGAGAGTGGCGAGCGAGATCTGGGAGAGGGGAACGAAAATATATGAATAAATCAAATTTCCTCTCGCTTTTATACAAACACAAACACTTTTTATACACTTGTGTTTGTGTAAAAAGCGAGAGAGGCGAGCGAGACTGCCACCAAATGAGAGTGGTGAGCGAGATTCCACCAGGGAGAATGGCGAAAATAGCAATAGTTTGCTATAGGGTACAATTAAATCAAAGTATATTTATAACATTTAATTTGAATTAATAGTTTGCTATTATATACAATTTTCCGTACTTATAATATATTCCAACAGGCAACAAATATCAAAACATTAAACTAGATAGCATTTTTATTACATATATTACATGAGTAATATATCACGAATTAATCTGATAAATTTATAACCAACACTTTAAAAACTTGTCAAGAGTATTTTAGATGATAAGCATTCTTCACCTCAATTTCAAAGGTTATTGATTCGAATTACCAAAAAAAAAAGTTTCTAAAAACAGTTAAAGAAACCATAGAGTCATTCTATTATTTGTTTTTATTTTTTCTCACAAAGTAAAAAAAATACACACAAATACAAATGCACATTAATATGGAGTTGAAGTAATGTAATTGATCATAATCAACCTCGCTCAAGTAAAAGTAAGATCTGTGTATATTGTAGATTATACTGGATATGTTGTTGTTATTGACCACTAATGTACTTTTACCCTCTTCTACATCTCTTAAGTCCCCCCGGAGCGTCCCACTTGAATGGACGTGGGGTGTCTGTGGGAAGATCGCAAATACGACATTTCCAACCACTATCACAATCACTATTATCTGTACAAGATCTAATACATGTCACAAAATCATCTTGTGAAACTAAATTTCCCTCAAGTCCTGAAAGTTCATGATCAATATTCCGTATAGCCATAACATGTTTCGTTTTCGAAAACCACTCCATATTAAATGAAAAATATGTAATTATTCACATCAAAATATATATTAATGATATAACATAAAGTTAAGATGAGATAAATACTAACCTGTAGTTGTTATGAGAAGAACAGTAAAAATGAAACTCATCTTAAACAATGCCATGATAATTTTGAAGAACTTTTTATTCAAGTGATTTTATGCTTTTGGGATGGTGTAATTTATAGACCTCAAAAATTGCATATACTTATAATATTCATATAATTTTTTCACTTTGCATATAATTGATATATTTTGATAATATAAATGAACATGATACTTCATGATATTACTTAATTCACAACTTAGATGCACGTTTATAAAAAAATTTGTTGAAAGTGCATGGACTTGTCATAATTTCATGTGAGAGATATTGAAAGACGTGACATAATAATTATTTTGTATGAGTATCATATCATAATTAATTATTATTAAAATGATATAATTTATTGACATAATATATACTAGTAATATTTTAAATTTGTTTAAATATTCTATTCAAATATTTGAACTAAGTCATGTTTGAATTGAACACATCAATTCTTAAAAATAGGGATAAAAATGTAAATTACCCAATAATCAAATAACATGAAAAAACTACATAGTTACAAATATATTCATACCAACTATAGTTTAAAAAATATAAGGGAAGAAATATAATTACGTCCTAAATTAGTGAGATTTGTGTTATTTTCTCTAATAACATGATATTTTAGGGATGAGTTATAAAATAAACTAGATTCATACAAGTTCATTTGAGAATACTGATAAATCCGGTAAAGTCTCATCGAATACAAAAGGGAAAATTGTATAAAATAGCAAACTATTAATTCAAATTAAATGTTATAACCATAGTTTGATTTAATTGTAACCTGTAGCAAACATTTGTCATTCGCCTCTCTCCCTAGGTTTCTCGCTTGCCAGTCTCTCCCTTGCCTCTCTCGCTTTTATACAAACACAAATGTATAAAATGCATTTGTGTTTGTATAAAGCGAGAGAAAATTGTATATACAAATACGAATACATATATTTTCGTCCTATACACTTATAATTATACAAATATAGATCTTCCCCTGCCCAGTTCTCTTTTGCCTTTCTCTCTTTCTCGCTTTATGCAAACACAGATTATGCAAATTGTAATGTATAATTTGTGTTGTATAAAGCGCGCGAGAAAGAGATTTGATATATATACAAATGTTTTATTTCGATTCAATTGTATACAAATTCAAATTTTATGCAGATATACAAACACATAAAATTGAATTGAGACGCTGCCAGCGATTTATACAAACGAGAGGCTGCCAACGATTTATACAAATGGCCTGCCAGCGAAATTATACAAATCTGAAGCTCATGCCTGCGAGTTATACAATCTGATGCTCTTGCTATGGAGCGCAATCATACAAACTATAGCTATAACATACAAATATGATTTTTATGTTTGCTAAATGTGAAAGTTGCTCAATATAAAACATATTGATCTAGTCGTCTCGACCAAGACCAGTGACCTTAACAAATCAGAATCAACCCAACTCAATTAGAACCCGTCTCTTCAACTCAATAACCAACCCAAACCCCAAATCGATTGAGTTAAATTTTCATAAACCATATCGGTCCGGCCCGACCCAACCCGACCCCTTAGATGAACCCAGTAAAAAAGATGGATCTAAGTCCGACCCATATTTTGTTTCCAAGAAACGGTCCGGGCCTCCGGTCTAAAGATGCAAATTTTCTCCAGTAAACACGCAGCTGCCTCCTCCGCCGCTCGCTTCTTCTTCTTCCTTCTCCTTGTACTTCTTCTTCTGATGTGCGTACTGTTGCCAGCAAAATCCAATTACCCATTTTAGGCAACTGCGCCTTCAGCTTCAGGTACCAATTTTCTCTTCAATTCCCCAAAACCCATTTAGATTTTCCCACATTTTCATCTTCTTCACATTCATGTATTGCATATGCTATTTCTCCTCTACAGAATGACCCTTTATGTTAGAGCTTCTAAATTCATCATACCCAAATCAAATCTCAATCATTTCAGCTTTTTAGTGTTTTCTTCTCTTAAAAGATTGATTTTTTATTCATCTTTACATCAGTTTCAATGCCCATCTGAGATAAAAATCAATAATATTAGAAGGAATGGTAATAATAATGGTGGTAATAGCATGCGGGAAAATCCCTTTTCAGATTCTGATATTCAGAGATTAATTTTGAATAAGATTGAAGAAAGGGGTTGGGTTACTGAGGAGGAATTTTGGGTTGTTCCAGATTGTTTTCATTCTTTAATTTATGATTCTGATTTGTTGGTTAAGATTCTTAGCTCAATTCGTTGTCGACCGAGGGTTGCATTGAGATTGTTTAGGTGGGCTGAAGGGCAAAAGGGGTTTAAGTATTCAGAGTTTTCGTTTTGTACTATTCTTGATATTTTGATACAGAATGGTTGGGTGAAGTCTGCTTATTGGGTGGTAGAAAGGGTGATTAGTAGTAATATGCATAAAGTTGTTGATTTATTGGTTGATGGGTATTTGAATTTGAAGGTTTCTGTTGAGATACTTAATATTTTTTTAAGGATATACACGAAGAACGCAAATGTGGAGCTATGCTTGTTAGTTTTCGAGAAGATGCTGAGGAATGAGATGTTGCCTGATGTGAAGAATTGTAATAGGATTCTAAGGAACTTAAGGGATAGGAATTTAGTTGCCAAGGCGAGAGAAGTGTATAAGATGATGGGTGAGTTTGGGATAATGCCTACTATTATTACTTATAATACAATGTTGGATTTGTTTTGTAGAGAAGGTGAAGTAGAACAGGCTTTGGATCTTTTATCAGAAATGGAGAGAAGGGAGTGCTATCCGAATGATGTTACATACAATATCTTGATTAATGGGTTATCAAAGAAAGGGGAATTTAACCATGCTAGAGGTTTGATTGGAGAGATGTTGAATAAAGGACTGAAGGTTTCAGCTCATACATATAATCCTTTAATTTATGGTTACTGTGTTAAAGGAATGGTTGTGGAGGCATTGAGTCTCGGAGAAGAGATGGAAGTAAGAGGAGCTTCACCTACTGTCTCAACATATAATACATTTATTTATGCTCTTTGCCGGCAGGGGCAAGCTAGTGAAGCAAGATACTGGTTCTCTGTCATGTTGAAGAAGAATTTGGTGCCGGACATAATGTCATACAACACTTTGATTTACGGATATTGTCGGTTGGGGGATATTAATGAGGCCTTTTCCTTATTACATGATTTAAGGAGCAGGGGACTTTTTCCTACAGTGATCACCTACAATACAATTATGGATGGACTCTGTAAAAAAGGCAATTTAGAGGATGCTAAGCAGATGAAAGAAGAAATGATGAGACACGGTATCTCTCCTGATGTATTTACTTATACTATTCTCGTTCATGGTTCCTGCAAGGCAGGAAATTTACCAATGGCAAAAGAACTATTTGATGAGATGTTACAGAGGGGTTTGGAGCCTGACTGCATTGCTTACACAACTCGAATAGCAGGTGTACTGAGCCTGGGTGACATATTGAACGCATGCAAACTACAAGAGGAAATGTCAACAAAGGGATTCCCACCAAATATAATAATCTATAATGTATTTGTGGATGGTATTGCAAAGCTGGGTAATCTTGAAGAAGCAACTGAGTTGTTACAGAAGATGGTTGGGGATGGCCTTATGCCTGACCACGTAACATATACCAGTATAATTCATGCCTACCTCGCATTTGGGAACCTTAAGAAAGCCAGAGAGTTGTTTGATGAGATGATAAGTAAAGACATAGTTCCAACAGTTGTAACATACACAGTGCTGATTCATGCGCATGCCGGTAAAGGGAGGCATGAACTTGCACATATGTATTTTTCAGAGATGCAACAGAAGAGCATTCTGCCAAATGTGATTACCTTCAATACTCTGATAAATGGCCTTTGCAAGTACAGAAGAATAAACGAGGCTTACAGTTTCTTTGCTGAGATGAAAGCAAGAGGAATTATCCCTAATAAATATACCTACACCATTTTGATAAATGAGAACTGTGATTTGGGTAACTGGCAAGAGGTTTTGAGACTGTTCAAAGAAATGTTGGATAACGGAATCCAGCCTGATTCTTTTACATACAGTGCGATGTTGAAAAATCTCGGCAGAGATTATAAATCACATGCCATAGAATACCTTGACTTTATACTTTTCGGTGATGAAGGCGACGAAGGCACTGCCGAAGCAAAGAGTTGAAAAATCCCTGAATAGCCACTGGTATTCCTGGATGACTAGCTTTCTGTTCCTGGTCTTTGTTCTACAGGCGCCACACCATGAGCTTGTCCATAATAGCTGCTGGTATGTGTCTGATATATGTGTTCATAACCGCGTAATTATTTTTTATCATTGTTCTCCACCATGCATTTACAACTTTAATATAACTTTTATTAGGTGAGCAGATAGCGCCGGTCCATTTTTGATATGGACTTACCTCCTGTACTTGGGGTAAGATTGCGGAACCTACTTTGCCTTTCTCTTCAAATTAATGCATGGATCTCTGAATAAAATTTTCATTGTTGTCTCTCTCCTCTACTAAGTGGCTCTTCATTTTCCTTTTCTCATTTTTGTTCCCTGTGTTTCCTTTCCCAGAATTTTGACGCAATTTCACATGCATACAAGCCTAATAATTGCTACATTTTCATGGATGAGTATCTGCTCTTAAACCTTCTTTTGAAGGAGATTAAAATAATGATGCTAGATATTGGAGGCAAGTAATTTCACTTTTTTTTGCTAAATTCATCTCATGTTTTGTTTTAACTTTGCAGGGCAAACACAAAAGTCTATGCAGTCTACCAGATAACACGAAATTCTTTTGCAGGTTAGTGGTATTTAATTTTAGTTGAGGGTCTCTAATTGTATTAAGTTTTCACTTTTTGGGTCTTCCCTCACATTTGTGGTCAGTTATAGTCTGTCTTCATGTTACAATTCTAGCTTTTGGAAACACTAAGATATCTGGTAGGACTTGTAAAAGTACTACAGTCAATCTGTTTAGGTAGCATCTATCCATGTTCGCTTTACCACTCTCTCTGGTTAAGTCGAACCATTTTATTAGCTTCAGGTCAACATTGTTGCTGTCTGTTTGGTGCAGAAAGCTGGGATTGACATGCAAGGTCTTGGTGCTCCTGAGATACTTCAAAATTTTCACTCCCATCCGAGCTGCTTTGAGGTGTATGAGAGTGATTTATGCCTTCTTCTGTCTCCTCTGAACATTGACATTCTTAAGACTGGTGACGTGCATTTTCTTGAAAAAGTACCCTTTGATTTTTAAGGGATTCTTGAAAAATTACTTTCAGTACTTGAGAAATTAATGAATTTTGAGAAACATTTTCCTGTATTCTACTCTATTTAAGGTTAATTTCCTGTTTAGTTCTAGTCCTAGCATGTAACTTTTGAGACCTATCTGACCAGATATCGACAACTTGTCAGGTTAGTGGCACACGGAGCTGCCGTTCCTGAATATTTCTACGCAAATCTAAAGCAGTAAAGCAAAAGATGCCACTCTGGTTGGATCTCCATACAAATTCAGTTCCTTAAAGCACGCTAATAGGTACTTCTTGAAGCTATTTAAAGTCTAACGTTCTGCAGTACAGTTTCACCCTTTTTGTGGAGTGTGTGTTGGTTTTCATGCTTCCCACTAACTATTTCTATATGGATTTTTCAACTGCTGATAAATGCTAAACTTAATCCATTGCCTGATAGTGTTGGGAGCTACTGTCCAAAATTCTAAGGATATGTTCTTACTCTTATTTTTTTTTTGTTTTTTTTTTTCTATTTTCAAATGTTTCCTGTTGGCCAAACTAAGTAGATGTGTCCTCCACTACTTTAGCATTTATTGATTATTCTTGAATATTTAATCCCAAATTAGCATTTAGTTTCAAAGTTGTGCAAACTATCTTGGCACTAAACTTATGAGACATACAATGGAGCTGTGAAAAAAAGTGATAGTGCGTGAACTTAGGGACTCTGAATGAGTAACATATCCAGTTTAGATTTATGCCTGGTAGATCGACAATAGAGGCTATATTCTTGCTAAGAATATTCAAGAAATTTATCACTATAGGAAGAGAGGTTTACATGCTGTTTATTGATTAAAGCATATGATAGTGTACCAAGAAATATCCTTTTGTGGTTGTTGAAGATACGTATTCATATTAAATTTATAAATGTCATAAATGATATGTATGAAGGACAGAAGGAGCAATCACTGGTATAAGAACAATAGTAGGGACACAAAGAGTTCCCATAACAGTGGGTTTACTCCAGAGACCAATATAGAACCTGCACATGTGCACTTTAATTTTGGATGAACCAACATAATACAAGATAAGGCCCCGTAATGTATGCTATTTGTTGAGGGTGCTTATGCTAATTGGCGAAACTAGTGAGGGTGTCAAAAGAAAACTTGAGTTAAAGATAAGCACTCTAGAGATTAATGATTTTAGGATAAGTAGAATTAAGACTAAGTGCCCGTTTGGCTTAACTTAAAAAAAGTAGTAGTTTTTAAAAAGTCAATCTTCAGTAACTTTTAAGTTAAAAAATGATAAGCAGGGGAGTACCTACTTTTAACTTTTAACTTTTTAAAGTCGTTTTAAACTTATTTTTAACTTTGTCAAACACTCCCAAAAGCTAAAAATGACTTGGAAGTAGGTTTGACGAACTTTTAAGCCAATCCAATCAGGCTCTAAATATATGCACTGCACGTTTGGTCAGCACAAGAAAAGTGAAGTTACAGTGAAATTCGACAAGATTGCTGTGCCTAAAATGCTTTTATTTTATAATAGGCTTGATGTTCCAGGAAAATGGTCTGATAGATAAAAATGTTACACAGAATCAAAATAGAAGTGCTACTGGAATGTTATGTCATAAAAATGATACCTACCAAGGTGAAAGACAAGTTCTATAGAACATTATCAAGAAAATTTCCTGACAGAGCAAAACATATGCCCTGTATTTATCCAAAATAGCGAGAGATTGAGCTTTATCTATTTCGTTTTGTATTGGTTTGCTTGGAGCTGTATCTGTTCGTTCTGTTACAGAACTAATCAATACAATGATACTGATCGAATTGATAAACTGAACTATTGCTACGTTTGGTAGTTAGTCAAACTATTGCTATGATGGGTAATTAGGACTCAAAGTACTGCTATTTCTGAGATTTCCCCAACATTGTAAGACCAATAATGTTCCCTGGAAGTGAATTAGGCCATTAAAGTCCAACGACAATTACTAGTCTACTACACCTCAGTCCTAAACAAGATGGAGTTGGCTATATGAATTCTCACTTCTTCATTTAAGCTCATTTCATATCATCATCATACTAAATAAAATAAAAGTTAAATATATAATAATAATAATGATAATAATATTAGAAGTTCTCCAACAAGTCTATAACGTATTCTCAACTAGTAACTATCACTTGCATGGATCTTTTTCCTCCATTGTGCCCTATCTTTAGTCGAGGCACAATGGAGGAAAAAAATCCATGTAGGTGATAACTACTAGTTGAGGATATATGCAAACTTGTGTCGCGAATATGTGGATTCAAAGATGGATGTGTGATTATACAAAGTTTAGAAAAGATAAAAGATGTCCACATTAGGGAGAAGACACAAGTAACACAAATTGAGGATAAAATGTGAGAAAGTTGTTGAGATGGTTTGGTCATATTGTACGTCGACCTCTAGGTGTACCGGTTCATAAGTGGGAAACCAAGGTGAGTGAAAGTGCTAAAGGGGACTTAAAATTTAGAAGGAAATTGTCTTGAAAAAGCCCACTCTTGTGGAATCCATGCAGACTTGATGAAAAATGGAGCACAATGGAATATAAAAATTTGTATAGAATTCTACTCTAGGTCCAATATTTTCCAGAAATCCTTTAGTCCTCTCAAAGATTTATATTCCTAAAAAAATGTAAATTAATTTTATTTTATATAGCATGGATCAAAATAAGTTAAAATGGAGCGACATGGACAATGAGGATCCGTATGCATGATGAACCTAATTCCTGAACTGTTGCACGTGTTGAGTATTTAGCTTTGCTTACTCCTCATTGCCTGTTTTTCTAAAAGGATGAAGACACTTTTCTTGTTGGGTTAATAAGCATAAATTATTGGGAGAGGGAATATTTCATACTTGCTTAATCCTCCTGGGGGAAAATAGGTTGAAAATGAGAAGAATTTGGAATACAAGCAATCTAACAATAGATGCACCTCTACTGTGAGTGTGATGAATGTTGGACTGAAGTGTTTAATTAATTTTTTATTTAAGATTTCCTTATTTGGAATAACTAGTTTTTACGTTGGGATGCTTTGGACTGACTTATATATGTCGTAATTGTATTTCTTCCTCCATATATGGTTAGTGTTCTCTCCCTAGTGACGGATATAGGTGATTCTTCTAGATGATTTCACCGAGATCCTTCCGCCTTACTTAGACGAGAGGAAACAGGTATCCGATTATAAATGAACCCATAAATCATTAACTGTGTTGACACGTGTTTCTGGATAGTCTATAGTGAACTGGTATCTCTATGATTGAATTGGTCGGTTGAGCACTTTGCCTTGTGTATGTTTTATACACCTTTCCTGCTTTCTCATAACTCCCCGCGCTCTAAAAGTATTTATGTGCCTGTTGAGAACACAATCCCTGACATCTACACTGTTTTTTTAGGTAACAGACCTTGTGTTGTGCCTGATATGCAAAAGGTCAAATGCAAGTTCTGAGATTGTAGACAGGAGCAGAGGCAAAAAAAAGGGTTATTTCCTCCGCCTAACCCCTGGTGAGAAGAGTTATCGATACCTTTGCTGGTGGAGGTGGCAGGTCAGTGGAATAGTCGAGGTGTGCAAGCTGGCCTAGACAGAAATTCACCAAGAGCAAATACATTTGAGAGTTAGACTGTGATAAGGGTATCTGAACTTCATTACACGAATGTGTACGAAATCTTGAATGGTGGAGGTCGATGAGTTCATTGTAGAGATGCAACACTATATAAGTCGCGAGGCAAAGTGTGAATTGCAGTTTGTGAAGTTCTCCAAGTTTTCATCAACCAAATCACCAAGGTTTTTTTTTATGTGTTTGTTAACTTCTTGTAATTGCATTTTTTTACTTACTCAAAAGAGCTGAAGTTGATTCCACTGAATGAAAAAAGAACTAGTTTATCATACATATTGTCTATATTGTTCACTGAAAGAAGAAACTCATTTCTTTTAGTAATTGATTAGTGTCAATGAAACTTGTAAATATTTCCCATTACTGAGAAAATAAACAACCAGCAAATTAAAATGTATTTGTCATTTGAATAAAAATTACATGAATAATAGTAATTAGTAACTGATAATTTGAAAAATAAACTTATGCATAGAGGAGCTAACGAGGTTGTTAAATAATCTTTATGGTTTCTGTCATTTTATTGATTTGGTCCAAGTAATGAGCTAATGAATCCCCTTTCTTGTTATTATTGAACCAACCAATTAAATTTTTCGAAAGATTCATAATAATCAGCTTTATGAAGATTCCATAAGGTTATAGCTTGTGAAATATACTTCATAGGGATCATGCAACACATTTAAAAATGTCAAATTAATGGATTTTAAAATACCTGAATGTAATTGAACTTGCCAATCAAATTTGTCATAAGATTTATAATGATCAACTTTACGAAGATCCCATAAGGTCATAGCTTGTGAATTTTATCGTTCGTATTTGAATTAGTTAAATTAATGAATTTCATATCTCCAAATTCAAATTAGTCGGGTTAGTAAATTTTGGACAACGACTATCCTTATGGTCAATGCTTGGCATCCAAATAAATGTCTATTCCTTTTCTTGTCTTTCTATGAACTACATTGTTCAAACTCTTGAGTTAACAAAGGGAAGAATATTAAGGAAATTGAAGCAAAGACAAAAACTTCTTAACTAGGGAATTCAGACCAATCCCTCAAAGACTAAAAATACACGATGAAAATAACTTTCTCCGTCTCAAATTATTTGTCGTTTTAGAAATTCACGATAAAATTAATTAGTTTTCGCATTTTACCCTTAGTTAGTAGTTATTATTCTTGAAAACGATAAACACCTCAATTTGAATTTGACATCGATAATATGAACAAGATATGTGTCCTCTATTCGAGTTAAGCACTGACAATATAAACAAGTTTGGTGTTTACATCAAATCAATAAATATATATAATGTGTTTGCACATACTCATCAGGCACTCATGGCTAATTAATATTTATTCTCATCTTATTAACTTATATAATTATAATAAAGTTCACATAATTTGATATAAATATCTAATACGTATAAGTATTTATTGCAAACTCACACCGACATAGTTAGAAGTACTTACTCCAATATAAATAGTTGTAGTTTTCTTTTAATCATCTGATATTCAAAATTTACCTATTCGACTAATTTGAATTCATAGTGAGTATTATTTTAGAATAAATGCTCTTTTAGAAATGTTTTGGTTTGTTTTCTTTATAATTTTAAAAATGCAGAATCAGACAAATATCTGCAAAAATCTGCAAATAATTCCAAAAATATTCTACTCCCAGAGTAAGTTCCAAAGTTATAGTGTCTCAGATTCTCAGTGATTAAATAAAGAAATAATTATGTTTTATATTTTTTCATTAGCAAGAAATGTGTCATTTATACATATATTTCTTACTTATAATTATAATTATGTTATATATATTTACTTAATTTCTTTAACTTCTAACGTAAACTGTATGAAGCATTTACCTTACTAAATCCTCCTTGTCGAAAAATTATATTATGCAAAAAGGATAATATAAAATAAAAGTTAGGCATATGACATTTATATATTTTTTTGATTTCTCTATTAAATTTTTTAGTTTCGTCACTATTCAAATAATAAGAGAGAATGCGATAAATATCTTATATTTATTGAATTGATATAACCACCGCATGTGAGTAAGTTTTTTACCATACTTGTACTCTTTTTCCAAGTTTGAGATTTAAGTTATATATTGTTCGGACACTGTAGAAATATTGTAACGTTTGTGTCAGATTTTTCAAAATTACACTATTCGGAGGATCTAATATGCATAAGTCGACATTTTTAAAGCGTCTGATCAATCCACATGGATCTCCTTGAAAAACGAAGTCTAGGAGCTTGAATTGGCATGGTTGTCACCCTACAGGTTGAGGATTGACTTTTAACTCCACTTATCACTTTACTTTTCATGTCAAGCGTATAAGTCTAATTTAAACGTAATTTTGAGCTAAACACCAAAAAAGTGGTTAATAAAAACAAAACAAATGCATTTGCATCCTAAATTGTACTTTTTCAATCTGTCGATTTCTGCTAAGAAAAAATACTACTCCCTCTGTCCCAATTTATATGACTCACTTTCCTTTTTAGTCAGTCCCAAAAAGAATGACACATTTCTATTTTAAGTAACAATTTGCCTATAAAATGTCTTTTTTACCCTTAATGAAATGATTTACAACCACACAAATTTCTATCATTCATTTTGGACCACAAGTTTTAAAAGTCTTTCCATTTTTCTTAAAGTTTGTGCCAAATCAAAGTACATCACATAAAATGGGACGGAGGGAGTAATAATTATCAGCAACATAGAGTATCGCTTTGAGATTCTCAAACTATACAACAAAGTTCCCACTTTTATTCCTAAAAAAAATGATGACCAATTTTTCTCTGTCACATTTCTTGAAATATCCTATATAAACTATGTCAAAACCAAAGGTAAAAGCCCCACAAAAAATAAAAAAAATGTGGTGTTCCCTTTTTTCTTCTTCAACATCACATTTTACTACAATTAAATGTTCAATCCCAAGTGATAATCAAGAATTCAAGAATCCAATTAATGGAAATGTTGTGAAATTGGATTTGTTAAAATCTAATAATAATGGTCATCATGTGGCAACAAAAACTTCATTTTCTCCTTGTGATGAAACTTTGTACAATATTCCAATGTCACAAATAAGGCAAAATATACCAACAAAGAAACAACTTGTGGATACTTATAGACAAGGAATTATTGTTGAAGGTGCATATAGACAAACAGTTGTTATAAGGTCTTATGAAGTTGGTCCTGATAAAGTTGCTACTATTGAAAGTATCCTTAATTTACTTCAGGTGAGATCATATTTTTTGTCATTTTATTGATTTGAGAGTTATGATTAGTTGTTGTTCAGCTCGAATCACGAGGATAAATGGAGCGATATGAATAGTGAGGTGAGGATTCTTATAACTGGCTTTGACTTGTTTGTGATTGAGGCATAGTGGTTTGGCGTTGTTATTGTAGTATTAAATGGCATGACATGTATAATGAGGATTCATATAGCTGAGTTTGACTTGTTTGTGATTAAGGCATAGTAGTTTGACGTTGTTGTTGTATTAATGGAATGACATGTATAATAAGGATTCATATAGCTGACTCAAACTTGTTTGTGATTGTTGCATAGTAGTTTGATGTTGTTGTTGTAGTATTAAATGGAATGACATGTATAATGAGGATTCATATAGCTGACTCAGACTTGTTTGTGATTGTGGCAAAGTAGTTTGACGTTGTTGTTGTATTAATGGAATGACATGTATAATGAGGATTCATATAGCTGACTCAGACTTGTTTGTGATTGAGGCATAGGAGTCTGGCATTGTTGTACTATTAAATGGAATGAGATATACTGTGAGGATTCATATAGATAACTCGGACTTGTTTGTGATTGTGGCATAGTTGTCTGACGTTGTTGTTGTACTATTAAATGGAATGACATGTACTGTGAGGATTCATATAGCTGACTCAGACTTGTTTGTGATTGTGGCAAAGTAGTTTGACGTTGTTGTTATATTAAAATGGAATGACATGTACAGTGAGGATTCATATAGCTGACTCAGACTTGTTTGTGATTGTGGCAAAGTAGTTTGACGTTGTTGTTATATTAAAATGGAATGACATGTACAGTGAGGATTCATATAGCTGACTCAGACTTGTTTGTGATTGTGGCAAAGTAGTTTGACGTTGTTGTTATATTAAATGGAATGACATGTACAGTGAGGATTCATATAGCTGACTCACACTTGTTTGTGATTTAGGCATAGTTGTCTGACGTTGTTGTTGTACTAAATGGAATGACATGTACAATAAGGATTCATATGGTTAATTTCGACTTGTTTGAGATTGAGGCATAGTTGTTAACGTTGTTGCAGTACTAAATGGAATGACACGTACAATAAGGATTCATATGGTTGATTTCAACTTGTTTGAGATTGAGGCATTGCAATGTTGCAAACTAAGCACTCGACTCTCCCCCCATCTTCACTACCAACTAACTACACTAACATAATTTCTCTGGTTTACCTATCTGGAGTTTGGAGGTTACTAGTCCGACTAATTTGAATGTGTTGTATTTTTGCAGGAAACAGCATTGAATCATGTGTGGATGTCAGGACTACTTAGTGATGGATTTGGTGCTACACATGGGATGATGAAAAATAACCTCATATGGGTTGTTTCAAGAATGCAAGTTCAAATAGACCATTATCCAATATGGTAAGTGACTTAAACAGCCAATTTGTGTAACCAAGTCTGACATTAGATAGCTAAGTGATTTTGATCCTCTTAGTGAAGTTGGAGTTAACGAACTAACGTTTATGATACTGAGGATTCATACAGACGACCTCAACTAACTTAGAATTGAGGTGTAGTAATATTAGTAGTAGTAGTAGTTGTTGTTCTTGTAGTAAAGTTGGAGTTTACTTGTGCCACTCTGTTACAAACTGTTAAGAGTAGGTAATCCGTACCATGTCTTTGTTTCTATTGCATTCTATCTCACCGCATCACATTCTGTTCTACGAGATCAGTAAATTCGGTCTAGGTCTAAGATAAGCTTTTGTTCCATAGCCCTTAGATACATGGACAGATGCTTTCTCCATATTCTAACGTCTCTATCAACCAAATTCTCTTTTCTTCACCTGATACATATTAACTTACATCTTCTGCTCCTACCTGATCCAAGACAACTGATGCCTGATTCTCCCGATGCATCGCTCTCTTGGTTTTTGGTACTAGGCCTAACAAAAAGATTGAAAAACATGAACAGGGGTGAAGTAATAGAGATTGATACATGGGTTGGAGCATCAGGCAAAAATGGGATGAGACGCGACTGGCAAATTAGAAGTCAAGCCACAGGCCTCGTATTTGCCAGAGCAACCAGGTTCAGTTACACTTCCAAATAATTTTCAAGAATCTGTTTTTTTTTTTGTTCAAGTAAAACCGAGAGTCGATTTTCTCAAATCAACTAATGATAATTATCTCAGAAAGTCGTTTTTCTTGATGCTGTAACAAAAAAAAGTGACTTTATGAGATACTTATTGTTAGTTGAGTGACCACCTGAGAAATGATCAACTCGTAAAACCAACATAATGTTGTAAGTTGTAACTTAGTTTTTGTGTGGAACACAGTACATGGGTGATGATGAACCAGCAAACGAGGCGTTTGTCAAAGATGCCGGAAGAAGTGAGGGCTGAAATCTCACCATGGTTCATCAGTAAGCAAGCCATCAAAGAGGAAAATCCTATTAAGATAGAGAAGCTGGATGACACTGCTAAATATGTCCTTTCAAATTTGAAGGTGATCTTATGCATTTTATCCACAAGATTTCAGCATTTTCATCAATATGTCAAGACTCGTAGATACTGATCTTTTTTTAACTTTGCTGCAGCCAAAGAGAAGTGATTTGGACATGAATCACCATGTAAATAATGTGAAATACGTTCGTTGGATGCTAGAGGTAAAACAAACATCTAATAACATTGATTCTTGATCTTGACATCAACTTATGATGAAACATATCAGTTTTTTTGTTCTGTTTCATGTTGTTGCAGACCATTCCTGACCATTTTTTGGAGAGTTATCAGCTGTCTAGCATCGTGCTCGAATACAGGAGAGAATGTGGAAGCACGGATATTGTTCAATCCCTTTGTGAAGCTGATGAAGAGGTACTTTTCGACGATGTTGTTGATGTTGATCAACATAAGAGAAGAATTAGTGTACTTCATGGATTTTCATTGGCATCAGGGCTTCTTGAAGCAACTGGACTTCTTGAGTCATTTAGTCAAAGGCCATTTAGCTATACACATTTGCTTAAGATAAAAGAACAGATCAAGAATGAAGAAATTGTTAGAGGAAGGACTACTTGGAAGAGAAAGATATCTTCCATGCCATTTCCTACCTAACATACAAGCGATGTTGCTCAGACTCTTCAAAAATGTCACTTGGGCGTGTGTCGGATTCTCCAAAACCTGTGTTTTCATAGGATCTAACATGGGTGCAGTAGCATTTTTGAAGGGTCCGAGCAAAGTATGATTTAACGAACCATAAAAACGGTTCGCCAATCTTGAAGAAAAAAAGGTTCTTGAATCCAAGAAAAGAACTTTGATTGATGTGGGAAAGCAATAATATAAGAGTGAAGATACAAATAAATCTGTTAATGTAGAAGTATACAAGTCATAGTTGAAGCAGCATTGCAGCATAAACTGAAGATTCAAAGACAATGGATTTGCAAAAGCAGCATTTTTTAGGAAATAAGAATATTCACATATCAAAAAGAAAAAAAACTTTTGTGTAGTGTATAGGTCCTCCTAGAAATATGTATGATTGTAGAAAAATGTTGTCAAATATGTTTTTTTTTTTCTTCTTTTCTGAGGTACATTTTTGTATTTTCTCTTTTTGCATTTATAATGTTGATTGGGCTGGTTGTCCTGATACTCGCCGGTCTATCATTGGGTCCTGATTTTCTTTGGCCCAAATCTTGTTTCTTGGTCTTTCAAGAAGCAACTTATTTGTTTCTCGCTCCACCACTGAGGCTGAGTATCGTGGCATGTCTCACACTATTGTTGAACTTGGAGGTATTGTGGATTCAACAATTGCTATTGACTTGCATGTTGTTCTCACTGATCGGATTCTCTTATTTTCGCGATATAATTTTATCTACCATCTTCGTAAAAAGCTTGCTTACATCCTTGCTTCTCATCGCGCACTTTAAAATTGTTCATTCACATGTGTCCACGTGGCGATTGAAGGGTATCTTAGTGTATGTGAATATTCTTTATTTTTCACCATATTAACCTAGGCTAATGTTGTATGTCACCTAATTAAAGTAAAAATATTCTTGTCTTTTACACTTAATACACTCGTTTTAAAAATATAATTACACAATCCTAACAATGACTTAGGGTGCATAATCTTGCTTCTTTTACAATAACAAAGAGTATAGTATCAAAAGTAAAGAGTAATCAAAGAAAAGAACAACTAAAAGACAAGTTTGGTAACATTTTTATTAGTCAATGTTAAATGCATAGAATTCTGTCACTTAGACATTAGCAAACAATTAAAATAACCTGTCATTTTTTTGTATGGTTAAAATGTAATTGTCATAATTGTACCAAGATGCTGTATATTGGCTATATATCCTTCTGAAATTTTCAAGAAATATATCTTGTTGAAATAGACTATATAATTATAGTATAACTAAGTTTATTCTCATTTAGACCAGAGGTCTCAGATTGTGGTGGGATGGATACGGTTCATTCATCCTTAACCAGAGGTCTCGCATACGATCATGCAACCCCTAGAGCACTTCCTCTTTAATTGAGGCAACAATATTGCAGCTGAACAAACATGTACTTTTTAGCCTATTGAAAAAGAATTGAGGTTTACTACATGTTTAAAATGTACTAATATTTAACCTAAAAAAAATGCAAACCATATACAGTTACAAGGTAATGGGTATTTACAACATGGTTGAACTCTACCCAAATGAAAGCAAAGGAATAAAGAATGGCTGGGGAACTGCAAACGTAAACTCAATCGTGCTTTCTCCTCATCGTTCTATGTAAATGCAACGACCATGCAGCCAACGACATCAAAAGGCCAATACCGACACATGACCATAAAATTACCACCCATTTGGGCATTGGGTTCGGAAATGATCCTGAAAGAAGCAGCAAAGAAAAACATCAAGTGAAGAATACATAAAGCCACCGGGGTTCTGGTCTTTGCCAAAAGGGACGTGTTAATTGTCCACCGAGTTTTGAACTATGCTAGCTCGTCCTCAGGATTTCCCAGTTATCAAATAAAGTAAACTTGCTGAAATACTCATAAAATGAGAAAACTAGATGTAGTGTAGTGCTCACCATGTCCAAACTTGATACAGATTAGGAGCTCAACAATGCAGATCGCCACTGAAAGCCAGCAAAATGCTCCTACCTTTTTCGCTGGTTTTCTGAATATGACAATAGTAAACGGGAAAGTGAGAAATAAAGAAAAGAAACGAGCGCTTATGGGAGTAGTACACATTTCACTTTATAATGCTAGTGGTTGGACATACCTGTCCTGTAGGTACGAGTTATATTCACGGATAGTTGGTAATGCAATTAACCACCAGAAAACCAATCTATACACTATCAAAGGATTTCTTGGAGGAATCCAAAGACAGAACTTCAAGAAGAATGTATTTAACTCCACAGTCAAGAATATGACACAGAGACTGAGGACTTGAATAAACCGCCATGGACCTAGAAGGGGACGCCATTCATCTTTATCCCAATGAGCTGGCGTAAATTGCCCAAGTGTTCGCTTGACCTATTAAAAAAAGAAGAAGCTGTTTGTTTAATAATAAAACCATCTGTCGCTGGGAAACCCCGTTCATAATACTTTAGTGCAGAATAAACGTCCTAATATTTCCATATAAACTGTATGGGACTTGTATAATGCAACCTAGTATATCTGATATTCCTCGAAACCATATACAACCGATGTAGCACTTAACGGGACATACCTTGCCCATGATATTTGGTTGCCTGCTTATACCAACCCACTCGTATGTTTTCCCATCAAAATACCGAACGGTGCGCATTCCAGCCCATATGCCTGCATAAGAAATCAAATAGGTAATTTTAGTGCAAAATAATCCAGGAGAACAAGACATATCTGTAAGACCATGAACAGACTTGAGCCACAGGTAAGTAAAATATGCAGAAAATATGGATTTAATGTTTTTTTATAATAACGACTATTCGTTGTATTCCTTGCAAAAAATAAAAACAAAAACAATAATCACATTGCCAAATGTCAAGCCACAAAACTTCACCCATAAAGATTCATTATATCAAACAACCTCCATACAAAGGCACAAATTCCACATCATCTGTAATAACAATATTTTTGGTGAAATGGAGCTCGATGATCGCCATAACCCATAGCCTAGTTGTTCAAGTCGTTATCAAAATTTTCCTCTGAAAGATTCAGAGGAGATGGGGTGTCACAAACAGAAGGAAAAATCAAGTACTTTTTCAGTTTCGCCATTAACTCTCCCTTTCAGCAGTGGTCTTTATTTACCTGGACAACCACTTTTTACTGTAGGAAAGGCAATATTGCATCTCAATACAATGTAATTTCACAGCAAACTAAATCAAAAGAAGCAAATTCAACGATACATTTGATAAACTTCATCAATCTGGAAATGTTTTTCAGAACTCAAAAGAACAAGAACTTCAAATAGAAATGGATGCAAATTGAGAATATGATATCAATTTGTTGTAACCATGTCAAGAATGTAAAGTTCATAAGAGCGTAAGGTAGTCGGCTTCAAGATGCTCACCAAACCAATTGCAGATTAATATGTCAAGAATAATGCTGTCCCACCAACACTCGTTGAAGTTTGGTAACATGTGGCGGAAGGTAAGCTGAAAACACAAGTTTAATAAGGACAGAAAATACTGAACAACTCTCAATTGGAAAATGAAAATATGCTGAACAAACATTCAAAAGAAGCCGAGAAAGGCTCTGACCTCCATAAACTCGAATCCAATGGATAAAACCCACAAAAGAGGCTGATTACGAATCATGATGGCCTTTCCCCACCACCCTATGATATGAGCCAAAACAAACTCATCAAACAGTGTGTCCTACAAAGCAAATACGCCATCAGAGAGGCTGCATTTTCCTGCAGCTTGTCCAAGAAAGCAATACAAGATTTGAAAAAACAAATACAAAAGGTAAAAGGATTGTGAAAGAAGATATCATACATAAAGATTCTTAAACCTGTTTGTGGGATTTTCAGGTACGTAGACTCTGCAATCAGCACCATAGGATCTTTCAGGTAGCTCTGCATAGTAAGTTAAAATAGGTATAAGTTGTAATTCACATGGCAAAGCCGATAAACAGCATAGATTTTATAAAATAATTCACTCAAAACTGTTATGATGAACATGCCAAAATCCTTACCAATACCAAGATCAGGATGTAGGTATCTCATAAATTGCTGAGCATCATCCCGCTTCTAAGGAAAAGACGACAAAGTATTAATATCTCACAACAACAACTGAATTGGCTGAATTATAACTTGATTAGATATCAGAAGGGAAACTGAAGTACGAAACATAACTACGGAATCATTTCATTCATTTATACAATTAGAAAACATGAATTCTGCTAACCAACTTACCTGAAAAAGCAAAAACGTCAAAGCAACAAGGTAAATGACTGCCATTCCATGAACTAGGCGCCAAATGGCAGGATGTGGCCTAATGAGCACCCTGTAATGAAGAACCTCACAGATTAATATGGTAAAAGACCATAGCCCAAAAATTGCAAATACATCTGCCTAAGCTAATTTCAAGTCAGGAGGAGAAAAGAAGGCGAACTCTAAAGCTCACATTTGAAGCCTAAAAGAAAAAAGACTTGAGCCGCGGGTCTACTAGAAATAACCTCTCTACCTTCGCAAGATAGGGGTCAGGCTGAATACACACCACCCTCCCCATACCCCACTTGTGGAATTTACACGGGATATGTTGTTGTAGTTGTAGTTTTGACTAACCAAAGAGGAGTTGAAAAGATACTCATTCTAGCACGTTCACAGCCAAAAAGTGAAAATAGATAACACTCAATAAAAAATAAATAACCACCAACTCTTATTTTGAGCTATAATTTACAAGTCAAACCAAAAGTACGCAGAATACAACTCAATAGGACCTGAGAGAGAGAGAGAGAGAGAGAGAGAGGAGTATAGTAGCAACTTACGTCGAGGGGGCTTGCAGCAAAGAGTAAGCAAGATACACAGCAATCATAGCCCAAACACCCCTAACAGAGGAAAAAACAACTTTCACTGTCATGAACATTAAAAAGGAAAAGATGTTTTTTATAAGGTAAGAATATAAGACAAAACCATGATACTCACCCTGTTTCATTTCGAGTGGTGGGGTTCAGAGAACAAGAGTCAACGAGTTAATTTCAGTGTAAAAAGGGACATTAGATTCAAGTTTTTTGTAAAATAAAATTTACATACTTAGAAGCTACATGACAGGTCTATAAGTCACAATAGTTAATCATTCAAAATATTTTAATATAATTAAGAAACTTGTGGTAGAAGAATAATCTATTTAGACTCCCAAATAGCAACAATACCACATAAAATGGGATAGAGAAGGAAATAAAAAGTGCACACCTTTTCACAGATGCCACAATATCACCGGAAGAAGTGTTTTGTGAGTCGAGAGCTCCACTAGCCCAACTGCAATCATAATAACATAAGCAAGTAAAAAAGAATGTATTATTGGCTTTAAAAAATACGAAAAACTACGTATTAGCAAGCAAAACTAAAAGAAAGGAACCAATAATTTGCAAGCAATCAGTAAGGCAGCCTAATTGAAGTTCCCATGTGCTTTTGAATACCAAAACCAACTTTTGATAAATACGAAATTCAATTAAAACTGCAACGACTTGATGTGTCATACGTACAGCAAAAGGATTTCATTTCACAAAACAACCAATTATAATAAAACAATTTTACATATCCTCAAAAAGAAGAGAACTTTTATATTATAATCACCAAAAGGAAAAATAGAAAGAAAAAAAGGCTATAACAATCTAAGCATCTGACTGAAAATCTAATTCATTGATGACACAGAATATTGTATGGACATCTGAAAGAACAGAAGAAATGACACAAGAACTTAGATTTCTTCTACGAATTCCCTCATAGTCCAAGGCACTTATCCAAAAAAAAATAAAAAAATTCCCCCATACTCCAAGAAGAGAACAACTATTCCTGTCCATAGCAATTATTCTACCTTTGAATATAGAGCATGTACATTAAAAAACTTACATGAGTAAACATGCACCGATAAGCAACAACGTAATAGTGTGAGGTTTGTTCGCCCAGGAAGTCCATGGATCCAACTCATCATCAATATTCAATGTGCTAAGATCACCATTTTGAAGGGAAACCGTATTCTTTTTGTTACCCTTTCTATGTCCATTAGGCTCCATAAGCCCTAGCCTGTAAGAATTCAACCTCTTCTGCCTTTTCGCTGCACAGACAAGATAAATGGAACTTCAATTACTAATACATAGTGATTCTAGGCGTGTAAAATAATGAAAACATTTCAAAGAAGCCATTAAAAAGTCATAGCAGGATGTTCCCTATTGGGCTCAAGCTACTATACGACATACAAATGACGATATATTTTATCAAAAGGTACCTTCAGAAATACAACAAACTTATAATAACTTAATCATTACTGCATATCCTACAAGAGTAAGTAGACTTCCTTTGGAAACAGGAAGTGTAGGAAAAGCAAACACAATCCTTTTTTTGAGAATGGTAAACTAAAAGGAAACATAATTTAAAGGAAAATTCGAAGTAAAGATAGGAATCCAAGAAATAAGTTAAGGAAGGGATCCAAATAATCTCATGTCTGCACAACATTTTAATCTACAGACCCTCAGTAAAGAATATACTCGAAAGCCTGTCACCTCCAAAAGGAAATTACCAACGGGTAGCTCTTATTGGTTCAAGGTTTTAGCTCGCTATCCGTATTATAACTGACCTTAAAAGATATAGAAGCATACGGGATTAAAGACCAGCTTCAAATAAACTAATGCAATACATCCTACACACCAACTTTAATTGGAGAATAATCATATCCGTGATGCCAATTAACCAAAAATAAGTCCACGTAACCACACAAATACAATCGAAATTGATCATTTCCAATGCATGTGACTTACAAAAAACAAGGAGTTAACAGAAAGATGAACAAAAACAAAAACAAATCTTTTTTCCAATACCGGGAAACAAAAATGAAACTAGACTGTAACTACCAACGCGAAATGAAACAAATTTGAATAATTTAGTGTTGGTTGTTAGCACAATAAGAACATCAACTACTATCATATAAGTGATGCCAATTAAGCAAAAATCAGCCAATTCTTTACAACTAAAATCCACGTAATCACACAAATCCAATCAAAATTGATCATTTCCAATGCATGTGATTAACAAGAACATCAGCGGAGCCAAGAATTTTACTAAGAAAATTCAAAATTCGAAGAAGCCAACACACCAAATAGTCACACAGTGTTCAACATCAGCTATATATACATAAAAAATATTTTTAAAACATAAAAATTTAACCATATATAAAAACAGTGTAGCTCCGCCCAGAAAGATAAAATATCCAAAACTTCTTCAATACCCCGAAACAAAAATGAACCTTGGAGTTTTAACTAGCAAAGCAAAAATCAAACAAATTTGAAGAAAACAAGAACAACCCAAAATTCAAAAATATCCCAAATGTAACATACATAGTGCATGCCAATCAATGATTCGCAAAGCCAAGATTTTCACTAAGAGATTCAAAATACGAAGAACTAAACCCAACAAGAAGCCAAATGAGATTCAATATCTACTGGTAGTAGATATACATTTAAAAAAAAACAATTTTAACCATATATAAACAATGTACAAACATCTCGGCCCTACCAGACTTCGCCCCTACCACTCCATTAAGTAAACGCTACAGGAAAAAAAATCCCAGTTTTGAAGTTAACAGTAATATACTCTATTACCTAAATATATATATACATAAATACATACACAAAATCTATTTATAGAAAGAAGAACTGAAAAAAGTAAAGTCAGAGAGGGGAAAAAAAACTTACGTAGAGAAGACAAAAGAACTAAAAATAAAAAGCTGACAATCACAGAGAGAGAGCCCTAGTAGTAACAGAGAACAACGAATCCTAGCCGTTGGATCAAAAAAATGAACAAATTTTCGAAAATGGAGAAATGGGTACTGTAGATAATCAACTATTTAGCAAAAACAGAGCAAATTTATGGAGATTTCAATGAACACAGAAGCAAAAAAAGATCGAATTTTCAAAAACGGATAAATGGGTATTGTAGCTGTTTACTAAAACAGAGCAAATTTATGGACATTTGAATTAACATAAAAGCATTAAAAGATCGAATTTTCGAAAATGGAGAAATGGGTATTGTAGATAATTAACTGTTTAACTAAAACAGAGCAAATTTATGGAGATTCGAATGAACACAAAAGCAAAAAAAGATCGATTTTTTGGAGGAAAAAACAATGAATTTTCCAAAATGGAGAAATGGGTATTGTAGATAATCAACTGTTTAACTAAAACAAAGCAAATTTATGGAGATTTTAATGAACACAAAAGCAAAAAAAAGTTTAAAAAGTATACAAAAAAGATTAGATTTTTTGGGAGGAAAAAAAAAAAGTTCAAAAAAGTTTAAACTTTTTTTTTTGCCTCTCTTGAGAGAAGAAAACAGTGGTGACTGAAAGTTCACCCGGCGGCGAAAGGCGGTGATTTTTAGAGAGAGAAAGACGAAGAAGAAGAGGAGAAAGTAGAGAGAGAAAGTTCGGTTTCTCTTTTCTTTCTTTTTTCGGTCAAAGAGAGATTTGGTTTGAACAGATTTATAAATATGAGTATTTATTACTTATTCTTATCATTAAATTAAATTAAGGTACGGTTTTTTTTTTCTTTGGAAAATTACAGGTCGGAAGAATATATATATTTTTTTTATTGGTGTTTGATATTTATATTAAATTTTGAATAAAGTATATATAATAAATGTCAAATTTCCTTCGATTATTTCGTGTGTCTATTTTTTTAAATTCTGAAACACTTTATTAAAAGTTTTGGCTCCGCCACTAATTTGAAGGCATATTTATGTAAATGCTAATGGAGTAGTTTTTACCTCTGTCACTATTTAATATCTATATTTGTGGAGCCTGATTAAATATCGAGAAGTCTCATAAGTATTAAAAATAAAGTACTTACTATTTCATCACTATTCTGATTGATAAATAATGGCGTAGTCTTTTTGGTGTCTTGATTATCAATAAATTTAATATTTCTAATATACGTTGAAAAATATATTTTAACCTTAAATATATGGTTTTAGTATGAACAATAAAATTAAGTTGAAAAAATACAATGGAAAATTGGATTTTGTCTTTGAATATGCATTTAATTTGAAAAAAACGAAAAAGAAAAAGGAAGTTAAATTGATCAAAATCACTTTTTCAAACTAAAAATTCATTTTCTACATGTTTTGAAAAAAAAAATCATGGAAAACAATTGATATCTTTTTTAAGTGGAAATTATATTGCATTTGAACTACTTTTAAAACTCTATCATAATTAAATAAAGAGAGAAATATTGAAAACACGTCTAAACTCGACGTGAATGATTAGTTTCATCCTCAAATTATTGACGGTCTTAAAAGCAATTCTTAACTTAACTAATTAAAATTATATATAGGTCCGATCTTGCAACATGAGTGAAATACGCTCCTAAATTCTTGTCAAGTTAAGAGTATTTTCAACATTTCTCTTAGTTTTTTGAGTATGATTGGGCCCTACAGTGGTAGAACCTGGTGAATCGGGCGTACTATTTCCCAACCTTCTATGAACTTTTCTTCTCTTATGATTTTTGCATTAAGAACTCTATATTCCTACAAGAGCTTGAAACCACTTGTTATATTATTTGACAGATTAGAGTGTATCTAAATTTATTTAGTCAAGTAAAAAAATATTTTTAAGATTATCAATAATCCGGAGACAAAACTAATAAATTGTATTAAGTACAAAGATACTTTCAATATTTCCCTCTTATATATCCAGTAATAGTATAAACTTAATAGTAGATAAATACATAGATTAATATTTGGCGATGAATAATAATTATGATAAATTTGTGAATATTCTCTGTAAAAAGATCAAATATGCATATGTCAATTAATCAAATTAAGTATATTTAATTAGATATTATATAACCATCAAAATTATAATTTACTACTAATAATTGAGGGATCAAACGTGTTATTGAACACTTTATTTTAATTAATATTTTAATAAAGTACCTTTCTTTTTAGATACTATACATTGTACTTCAGGTATATGCTTCACAGTTTTGTACTTGTACTAAGCTTTGGAAAAGACAAAAACACCCTTTACATTGGGAAAATAAGTTTTGGTAACGTTTGTCTTCTGCTTTCTTAAATTAAAAATTAATAAAATACTATATTTGAATAGTTTTTTTTTTTTAATAAAATAAATGTCCTCTTAAGCATTTGTAGTACTATCATCTAAAAGAATGAATTAAATGCTTTAGGTTTTATCACCATTTCAGAACAAATGAGTCGTTATATATAGTTATAATTATGCAACGAAAGATATCGAGATACTTTTAATTGTAATTTAACTTATGTTGAAATGGTGAAATATTTTTGAAATTCGAAATAATTTTTTAATCTAAAAATACATAATTTGCATATGAATTACATGAATGATTTTGAAGAATTTAAGAGTGATTTGTATTAAATTAAATGTTATTTGAGTGTCTCTAATAGTAATGTAGCCAATTAATAAGCTTTCTTCCTAATGATTTTGAAAAGTTCAAATAGGAGAAATTAAGGAGAGAGAAAAAGGAAAATGAATTTGTGTTGATTTTATATTAGTGATCTCTATCATTTTGGAATATTCTTTTTTAATAAAAGATTATACTTTTTTTCATCACCATGATATTATCCCAATTTGATTTTGGTTGAGATGGAAGGATATATAATTATGATGAAATGTTAGTAAATACCCCCTCTATTTTTATTTACAATATTTTCTAATTTAATTTTCTTTTTTACTTATCCATTTTGACAAATTTTATTTTTTTATTATACTCTCAATTTATTAATATTGAATTAATGTCATTGAAAAATATAGTGAGTAAATATATGGGACCAATTAATATGGATAAAATGATAAATTCACTATACCAAACATTATTTCTTTAATAGGTATGTCAAGACAAAATTTGACAAATAATAAGAAACGGAGGGAGTAGGAGTATTGTCTATTTTTCTTTATCAATAGTGAGTATTATTGTTTAATTTTATTTATCATTTTTTTCCCATCGATTATTATTTATTTATTATTTTCTCATTTATTCGTTTACTATATTTTCTTTTCATACATGTATCATATGTTTTATTTGAGCTAGGAATCTATTGAAAATGACATTTTTACCGTTACAAGATAGGTATAAGGTTCCGTATACATCGCCTTCTTCATACTTTACTTGTGGATTTTTACTGAATATATTATTGTTATTATAGTTATTTTGATTGAGATCAAAAGAGGAAACCAAAAAAGAAAGTCACCTCTTTTGCAAAAGGGAAAAAATACATGGATATATAGAAAATGGAAGTTCGTGTATATTTTTATATATAAATAAATAACTTCCATTTCTTCATTAAAAAATAAATTACATAGGTTTTTTAATTTATATAAAAGACAAGCAACATGAAATAGTGAAGTCTCTCAAACCATAAGCAAGTTATTCTTGCATCCTTTTCATGAAAATGCAATTTTACCATAAAGTTGTTTTTGATGTCCTATATATATATATCAAATATATCCCTTTTAATTGTAGAAAAAACATATCATTTAAACAACTATCTACCCTAAATTATTTCTAAAATATGTATTAAACCTACTTTTCATATGTTTTCTCCATTCACAACAATACAACCCAATATAGTTTCACTAGTGGAGTCAGGGATGGTGGTGATAGTGTGTAAGCAGTCTTACCCCTACTTTAACAAGGTATAGAGATTGTTTCGAATAGGTCCTTAACAGTAATCTCACAAGTGGATCGAGGGAGAGTGGTGTGTAAACAGTCTTTACCCCTACTTTGAAAAGGCTGAAAAGACTGTTTCAGATAGATTCTTGATTGTAATCTCACAAGCGGGGTCGGGGAAGGATGATGTATAAACAGTCATATCCCTATTTTGAAAAGGTAAGAAAACTGTTTCTATCACACCCTCGTCTCAAGAAAATGTACTCTCCATTTGAATCTAATTTTTGCTATTACTTCCATATTTCATTTTATAGTATAGAAATTATTTCTCTTTTCTTCATCTTTTTTTTATTATTGGGGAAGAAAAGATATTTTCTTTAAAAAGTGAGTACTAAAATGGGGGAATTGGACCAATTAGTTGATTTATGAATAGGGGAAATTTGGTAATTGTGGCTTAAAATAGGGGGGACAAAAACAAATATAGGGGAAT